GTAGATCCTGGCAATTAATTTAGGAGTAAGGGTGGGATCAATTCTCCTTCCAACTTCAAGACATTAATCGCTCAACATTAACCACGGAAATGGTAGCCTTGTTCGACATCATTCTGAATGACCAAGCAGCCTTCTCCAAGGAAAGCACTGCTTACATTACACGGACAAGGGTCTAGAAAAGGTGTTTAACCAATGTTTATCTCTATTCGCACTCGGCTGGTTAAGCTGCTAACGTGCATCGTCTGAACATCAGAACTATGGTTGATAATGCGAACAGTGGACATCTTAAGTGTCACTCTGCTCTAATCACTCACGAATTATCACAACTCAACATCGACACTGCTGTTCTTAGTAAAGTTTGTATCCATAAGGACGGTAGCCTTAATGAATATGGTGCTGGTTACACACTCTACTGGTCAGGAAAACCCAAAACCGGAAGTTACCTCTCAGGAGTTGGCTTCATGGTTAAAACTCCATCGCCTTCAAACTGAAAATCTATCGACAGGTCATTCTGATCGTATTATCTCTCTACGCCTCTCATTACAAAGAGCAACAAGTTATTCTCTTCAGCATATATGTTTCCAACTCTGCGAGCTGACCGATCTAGCCTTATCCAAAAGTCCAATGATAAGGTCATAATCCTTGATGACTTCAACACTAGAGTTGGGAAGGATTCCGAAGTCTGGAAAAGTGCGTTAGGCAAGTATGGCATTGAAACGGACGAATTCTACTAGAGCTCTGTACAGAGCTGACAAACATTATCTTTCAGCAGAGAGACAGGTTGAAGATAATCTGAATGCATTCTCGATCTAAGGATTGGCATCTTATTGATTGTGTCTTAGTGCGTCGGAGAAACGTTCACGATGTTTGTCGCATTCGTATGATGCCTAGTGTAAAATGTTAAACAGACCATCACCGCCTTATGCGATGTAAACTCAACCTTTAAATCCAAACCTGAGAGAGGTGGAATTCCAAGAAAGGGGGCTCAAAATCAATAATCTCCAAACATCTTTAGTAATAGAAAACTGCCAGATGAATCTTCAAACCAGACTTCAAGATCATCTCACAAATCCCTCTTCTGAAGTGCTTTGGGAACGTATTAAAACCAGCATTCTGCTATCTTCCGTCGAATCTTGCAACAAAAATAAAGACTAGTTTGATGGAAACAATGAAGAGATTCAGAATTTGTTAACAAAAAAGAGATTTCCTCACTAAGCATAGCTCGTTTAGGCCATCTGTTATGTTAGAAATGTCATCTTTTGTTTTGCATACAGAAGCTCCAACAGAAACTTCGAGACATCCAAAACAAATGATAGATAAACCTAGCAGAAAATGTTCAATATTGCGCAGATTCGGATGATGATAGTGGATTTTACGAGACTCTGAAAGCTGCCTATATCCACAT